AAATTTGGTACATAAATGCTCTAGGACAATAGACAGGCCTGATTAATTTTGATTAATATTAATTCTCTAATTAGCATAATAATTCATAATTTTTTTGTTCCATTCTGTTCATATTAGTTACCTGATTTACATAATTAGTTTTCAGCTTTTCCATCAATATCTCATGTACAAGTAATTTTGAATTAATTTTAATGTTTCTTCAATACTCTCAGCACACGGGAGTTCTTTCTAAGCTTTCTTTGATTATCTGGTTCAAATCGTTCAGCAACTTTTTTGGCATGTTGGGTGTACATCATATGGAATACTACGATTGGGAGAACTTAATGCATGTTGACCACCTGGAAACTGAGTTTTATAAACCTTGAAGCTGTCTTGAAGGGCTCTCGGAAGATCCACCCGCAGTAAAATCAGCAATTACTATGGAGCTGCATCGATATACCATGAGGTTTCTGCTGGCGACGTTGCGGCGTTACTCAGTTCCAAATAAAGATTATTAATGCCAAATGAGCAACATTTTAACCAGCAACCAAGACTCATTCAATCCACGACCACAAAGCAACATCACAAACGAAGTTGTAGCGTGCAGCGCAGCGACGACCGTTGTCGACGAAAGTCATCCCGTCAGTGGAGTACCGCAGTTGCACGGCATGTTTGCCAATGCACAGATCTGTGGAGGAACTTTTAACTTCAACATAAACCGTGTATCGTAGTAGCCCAGTTTAAGTTCTGGTTCTGTCATGGTCCCAACTAAACGTCCACGAGTTATTTAGTCGGACAGTGATTCAGATTAGACGTCTGACTATTTTATTTTCACACAGACCTAAATTCCATCCCGGTTTGTTGCACGTTCTTTCTTTAATGTGAAATAATCAAATATGGAACATATGTAATAATAACAGAACTCCACACCCTCTCCGTGGCTTTCGTTGCGTATGGAAGTTATTTTCACTCGAGATGCGGTGTATTCTGCTGTACTTTCACATTGTTAACCTTTTTACCACCAGACTTTCTTGTTCAAATTTTTTTGCACTTTTTTCTTGTATTCTTCAATATTACTGGAAATATTAATAATTAATTAATAATTTTGGAGCAAATAGACAAAATTAGAGTCAATTTTCAGTTTTTACTCAAAATGTTTATCAATTTTTATTCAAATCTTCTGAAGGAAAGTGCAGACTATAAATTGGACTATTTGTGATGCAAAGAGGTGGTGAAAAAGTTAAGGTCGTGATGCTGCGCATGTTTGACATCTGTGTTGATTTTCCCACAATTCAATGTGCTCTTCTAATGGAAAACCCAAATATGAGATATGACCTGGGCACGACTTTCACTAATTACCGCCGGTGACTCCTTCAATACCTTCCAACTACCTGAAAATACTTAATTAAAACTTGGTATCATCTCAGTTTGTACTCGTTGATCTGTGCAACAGTCAAAGTCGCCATCTTTGTTTATATGAGACCCAGTCTCTAGCACATGCGTGGCGCAACGACTGCTGCCCTTTGAAGAATGGTCTTAAATGCATTCCATGCTAGTGAAGTCATTGCAGTATCAGTCTGATAGACCATAATATTTTATTATATTTTTATACCCCTTTTCCTAAAAATGGTTGTTTTGGTGACCCTAAACATGCAATGCAGGTCTCTTGATTTTAGGAGTCAAGCTGAAATGAAACACCCTTTCTATGTGTTTTATATAACACACATGCTCATCCAGTTTTGGGCCGCCCCCCCCCCCCCTCCTCTGAGGCAGACACTAAGCTAGGTTTTACTGTGTCTTTCTAGTTATACTGGTTCACTGTGGAGTTTGGCTTATGTAAACAGGACGGTAAAATAAAAGCCTACGGAGCCGGATTGTTGTCGTCTTTCGGAGAATTACAAGTGAGTATGCACTGTTTATCTTTAAATAGATTTTAATTGAATTAAAGATTGTATGTTATCTTCTCCATGTTTCATTATTATGACGTTATAACATCAGAATGTCAAAAATGAAAACAAAATTCGTGTTGCAATTGGCGTTATTATGAGAATTACTGGCTCAAATTTTAATTTGTACACTGATATCTATGAATTTTTTTTATAGAGTTCATATCTCAAAATTTTGCTTTGTGACATAATATGAACAAAATATATATTGATCTGAATCCTAATATCACTGAAACATTTAAAAAAAAAATTAAATATAATTTAGCCAGTTTCCAGTGTGATAATAGTTTTTTATTCTATACAAGAGGAAGTAATATCCCACAATGCATTGCATTATTATTACTTGATTTATACCAAAATGTATTTGATCATGTGACACACTGATGTCATTTGCATAATAAAGCTTTTATAGTTTTTTTTTAAATTAGCAGTTTCATTTCACGCTTTTATGAAAAGTCATTTATATTCGTAACGTTTGAATATATATTTGTTTACAGTATTGTTTGTCTGATAAGCCAGAGATCCGTGCATTTGAGCCGGCCAAAGTTGCCGTACAGTCCTATCCCGTCACACAGATGCAACCTGTTTACTTCTTGGCTGAAAGCTTCGAAGATGCTCAAGAGAAAGTAGCGTAAGTATTCATCATGACGACACCAGTCAATGATTACAGTTGTAAATGACTACACAAGTCAATGATTACAGTTGTTAATAACTACACAAGTCAATGATTACAGTTGTTAATAACTACACCAGTCAATGGTTACAGTTGTCAATGACTACACAAGTCAATGATTACAGTTGTTAATATCTACACAAGTCAATGATTACAGTTGTAAATGACCACACCAGTCAATGATTACAGTTGTAAATGACTACACCAGTCAATGATTACAGTTGTTAATAACTACACCAGTCAATGATTACAGTTGTAAATGACCACACCAGTCAATGATTACAGTTGTAAATGACTACACCAGTCAATGACTGTGGTTGTAAATGACTTCACAAGTCAATGATTGCAGTTGTAAATGACTACACAAGTCAATGATTACAGTTGTTAATAACTACACCAGTCAATGATTACAATTGTAAATGACTACACAAGTCAATGATTACAATTGTAAATGACTACACCAGTCAATGATTACAATTGTAAATGACTACACAAGTCAATGGTTACAGTTGTTAATAACTACACCAGTCAATGATTACAGTTGTAAATGACCACACCAGTCAATGATTACAGTTGTAAATGACTACACCAGTCAATGACTGTGGTTGTAAATGACTTCACAAGTCAATGATTGCAGTTGTAAATGACTACACAAGTCAATGATTACAGTTGTTAATAACTACACCAGTCAATGATTACAATTGTAAATGACTACACAAGTCAATGATTACAATTGTAAATGACTACACCAGTCAATGATTACAATTGTAAATGACTACACCAGTCAATGATTATAATTGTAAATGACTACACAAGTCAATGGTTACAGTTGTTAATGACTACACCAGTCAATGATTACAGTTGTAAATGACTACACAAGTCAATGATTACAGTTGTTAATATCTACACAAGTCAATGATTACAGTTGTTAATATCAACACAAGTCAATGATTACAGTTGTCCATGACTACACTTGTCAATGAATATTTGTGTCAATGTTTGTATAGAGAAATGACTGTAGTTGTTGTGGGGATGACTGTAATTATGAATGGTTATATTTGCTTCTTATTACATATCGAGAGGTGTTTTCAACAAATAATTTTGTTTTTTTAATTTTTCAGAGCATATGCTGCTCAAATTCCAAGACCATTCGCTGTTCGTTACAACCCGTACACACAAAGTGTGGAAATATTGGAAAATAAAAACCAAATCAAGACCTTGGCTCAGAACATCAAAGGTGAGATTGCTTTGATTTTCCCACTATATGATGGGGGCAGTGTTTTGCATATTTTTATGTTTTTTTCAATATTTTTCAATTAATTTTGGGCCAAATAGACATCATTTTTCATTGACTAGTAAATATCTTAAAACTTTTACTTTTACGATTACTGTAAAACATGTCTGTTGAGCTAACATGTTAATTAAGCCAAAAACAACTAATCTGCAATTTAACTAATAAAAAAGTATGTATAAAATTGTTAGCACCTCAAGCAGAAATTTCTGCTGTAAATAAAATTCACTAAAATGGCGTGTGTCAGCATGCTTTATAGTTATTTCTGTGACTTCATTTCATTTTAATTTTGTTTTTTATTTGTTTTCAGGTGAAGTGTCTACACTGATTGATGCATTGAATAAATGCAAGTAGAGTTTTAGACGCACATAGATCTAAAAGAAATGATTAATAATAATAATAATAATAATAACTTTATTATAGTAATTCATTTCTATCAGTTAATAGCAATAACGTTTACTTGTGATAACTACTACTATAAAAGAAAACCAATTAGATAATAGCATAAATCTCTTGATTGAAATGAGTTATGTATATATATATATTGATCAAATTACTGTATCTGTACTCCATGCACAAATGATACAACAAATCAAATTACAAACCAAATTATTTTAAATTCTGTATTTTTTTAGGAAAATATAGTGGTTTGTTCTTAATGGGTGGTGCTCGTTTTATAGTATCATGTAGGTGTTCTTGAATCCACCTTTTTACAATTCAAAAAATCATAGTATTGTTAAGTATTTTTAAGCATCATAACATTAGTGTCATCTCTGAATACAATCACTAACAACAGAGAGATATAATAAACAGTAATAATAAACCAGAAAATTTGAATTTGATGACCCACTGTGTGGTTTATAATCTCAATATGAATACAAATGTGTGCTTTACAATCTTCATATGAATACAAATGTGTGCTTTACAATCTTCATATGAATACAAGTGTGTGGTTTACAATCTCCATATGAATACAAGTGTGATTTACAGTCTCAATATGAATACAAGTGTGTGATTTACAATCTCCATATGAATACAAATGTGTGGTTTATAATCTCCATATGAATACAAGTGTGTGATTTACAATCTCCATATGAATACAAATGTGTGGTTTACAATCTCCATATGAATACAAGTGTGTGTTTTACAATCTCCATATGAATACAAATGTGTGATTTATAATCTCCATATGAATTTAAGTGTGGATTTACAATCTCCATATGAAAACAAGTGTTTGCTTTACAATCTCCATATGAATACAAATGTGTGGTTTACAATCTCCATATGAATACAAGTGTTTGCTTTACAATCTCCATATGAATACAAATGTGTGGTTTACAATCTCCATATGAATACAAGTGTGTGCTTTACAATCTCCATATGAAAAACATGTGTGTGTTTTACAATCTCCATATGAATACAAATGTGTGATTTATAATCTCCATATGAATTTAAGTGTGGATTTACAATCTCCATATGAAAACAAGTGTTTGCTTTACAATCTCCATATGAATACAAGTGTTTGCTTTACAATCTCCATATGAATACAAGTGTTTGCTTTACAATCTCCATATGAATACAAGTGTTTGCTTTACAATCTCCATATGAATACAAGTGTTTGCTTTACAATCTCCATATGAATACAAGTGTTTGCTTTACAATCTTCATATGAATACAAGTGTTTGCTTTACAATCTTCATATGAATACAAGTGTGTGTTTTACAATCTTCATATGAATACAAGTGTGTGGTTTACAATCTCCATATGAATACAAATGTGTGCTTTACAATCTCCATATGAATACAAATGTGTGCTTTACAATCTTCATATGAATACAAATGTGTGCTTTACAATCTTCATATGAATACAAGTGTGTGCTTTACAATCTTCATATGAATACAAGTGTGTGTTTTACAATCTCCATATGAATGCAAGTGTGTGATTTATAATCTCCATATGAATACAAATGTGTGCTTTACAATCTTCATATGAATACAAGTGTGTGTTTTACAATCTCCATATGAATACAAGTGTGTGCTTTACAATCTTCATATGAATACAAGTGTGTGTTTTACAATCTCCATATGAATGCAAGTGTGTGATTTATAATCTCCATATGAATACAAATGTGTGCTTTACAATCTTCATATGAATACAAGTGTGTGTTTTACAATCTCCATATGAATGCAAGTGTGTGATTTATAATCTCCATATGAATACAAGTGTGTGCTTTACAATCTTCATATGAATACAAGTGTGTGTTTTACAATCTCCATATGAATGCAAGTG